TAAAGTTAATAGTCTAGGGCATCGCAATTTAATGCATCTAAAATTAACTATAGTGATTTAAAAACATTATGGAAGTACGGTCAGGTTGGTGTTGTGCTGAAGTTGTGTTATGCTGTGCCATGGGGATCTTTGTGGTCAAAACATCTTACTGTTTGCATCGTGCATGAGCATGAAATGCCCATTGTCAAATTACACTAAATGGCAAGCAATATGTACATACTTGTGAGAAGTCAGATTCACACTTAAAAAAATAATAAGCAGATGCTTATGCTGAGAATGGATAGGGAAGAAGTAAGCAATAACAGCGTTCTGACTGAATATTTCTACAGTAGTTTTATGTATTATTGTCACTTTTTCAATCAAGCTTTCTATTCTTTTGCCCTAAGTCCATGATAGAGTTTGTTCTTTGCCCTTTCACTTCTGCCCTTGCTAGTTTTGCTGTCTCTTCTTCTGTTTCAGTTTTCACTCTCCCCCTTGTTTTTTCAGTCGCGGTGAGCAGACTTCTGCAAAATAGGAAACTTTTGTTCTGGTCTCTGCAAACCGCCACGATTAGGGCTACTTTTACCTTCTTCCTCTAGAGTTTGCTGTCCTGGAGAAGATCTTGATCTCACTTTTTTGGTGATACTTCATTTCTAGAAGGGATGTTGTCTTATTAGATGCTAGGATAGATGGACTGTGCAATAGTCCCAGTCTGAAAAGGGACAACAAAATTTGTAGGAAATCTGGTAAATTTTGAGGGTTAAAAAAAATCCAGTAAAAATCTACAGTGAAGCTGTGGTAGTCACTGAATCTGGTGGCGTGATAAACAGAAACTGGTGACCCGTTCTCTAGCGGCAGGGGTTTTAGCCTGGTTTTTAGCCTGTTTTTTTTTGTGCTGTTGTCTGTGATGTTAAGTAGTAGAATTGAGAGTACGTGCAGTCAGTTACGAAAATGACCGTAAGCATGAATTTCTGTAGTCTGACTATCCTGAAAAAGTGTGCTGGAAATACTAAGAAATTACTAGATGACTTCTGTGCTTCTACATCCCTCTGGAGAAGAGGAGATGGCAGCGCTGTTCAAGGAAGTTTTTCAGAGTGGACACGCTGAGCTCCATGTTACTTGATGTACAGTATGCCAGAATGTCCATTATTTTTCCTTTTTTATTAGAAAAGGTGCTGTATTGGTCTTTTCCAAATAAGCGTTTTCCTTATTACATGCTAAACAAATAGTGCAGTGAAGATATCGCAGAATTGCCTATGGCACAGGCTTGTTCCAGTCTTGGTAAAGAGTACAGCAATATATCATTTAAAGTTACCTTTTTAAAAACGCTGTAGCCAAGTTACATTTGAAAGGAGAAGTGGATTCTGGAGGTTACGATGTTCGGAGGTTTCGTATTATGGAGGTAAATGAAGTTATTTCTTTTTATGGTGTTAATAGAATGAATTTAACTAGCAGCTCCTGTAACGGTATTTGTATGGTGATACTGTAAAAATACTGCATTTATGGAAAAATTAATGGAAAGTTTGAGGTCTTGGTTTAAATTTTTAGTTTGACCTTGAAAAACATTCCCAGATGGAGAGAGTTAAATGAGCCCAGCTTTGAAAGAGGAACATATGAATCACGGTTGCTAGGCTCTTCCTTGAGAGGCACGGGCTTTACATTTACAGTGAAGTATTTCAAAAAGTAATCTTTAAACTCAGAGGAACAGTGCATTGGAAATGACACCAGTGAAATACTATAAAATTCATTAGACTTTTAAATAGAGAATTTGCATGTCATTAGATGGAATGGGTATAAAGTATTAGACGTTAGAATATCAACTGCAAGACTTGAGAACTTTCCGAAGTGGTTGAGGGGGGAGCAGAAACATTAGGCCTCCATCTCCTAGTCTTGGTACGTACTTCTTACGTAAGTTTGTTAAACTGTTCTGTATGTTATTCTCTTAACACTTGCACGGTGTAATTTGTCATTCTCAACAGTGCTGCATAGGCATTTGACCCGTTGGAATACAGAAACAGAAATAAGATTTCCCTGAAACCTTGCTCTGCTTGACTAAAATGGCTGTGAAGCACATTAAACACCTGGGAGCTTACCTGCCCGAGTCTGAGGGTCCTGGGCTGGGGAGCGTGCTTTCGGGTCTCTTCCAGCTCTCTTAACTGATCTTGGCTGGGTCGCATTCCTACAGCATCAAAGGTGCTGTTAGAACTAGGGTTGTCTCCGTGCAGTATTGATGCTGCTTTTGCCTGCTGCTGTCCTGTCTGCGGGCCTTACGGGCTGGTCTCGTGTGTTCATGTAGCGTGCAGCAGAGGTTCCAGTGTGACTCGGGGCCCTGTGGGTTTCTCTAACAAAAGGATTTGATGGTATCTATTTTAAATAAATGCTTTGATAATAAAAAGTTTATTTTACCTCATGCGAGAAAACAAAAGGAATTGCGTTTAGGACTCTCACCTTCACTACTCCCTCGCTCGTTACGTTTCGATGCTGCCCGGTTATCGGTACTGTAGGCGAGTACTGCGGGGGCAGATGATCTCTTACATTGATTTGTGGATCTGGCTGGAGTCCTGTGCGCGAGTTCCTGTGAAATCACGGCTGTGGTTTTGAGTGTGCAGCAAATCTCCTTTTCTGTGTCAAGAGGTTTTACTCTTATAATGGTTCTTTTGGAGTCTGTGCATTTTGCAGTATTTTGGCATTGCTTTCTGTCACTTGAATCTTTGATTTTAAAATTTTCAAGACGTGCTTCACAGTGTAAGGGATGCTCGTGAATTATTCGGATTTCTTGGGATCCCCAAACTGAAATAGGAAAATATTTTTGTTTACATCAATTTCTGCCAATTTGTTTCACTTGTCATTTAAAATTGCAGCTCTGTATTGCCAGCAAATGTTCAGAAAAGGATACTTAAATAGAGTGAGCGTGATGTCTCGGACTAGTGTCGAGGAGTGCTTTATCTTGCAAGAGACACAGAAGCAGGCAGTCCTTTCCTCCTGTTAACGATCTCCTGCATGCTCTACAAGCTGGAGTAAAGCCTGCGAATCCCGTGTTGTCTGGAAAGGTCCAAGAACAGGTTACAGGGTGTGGGTTTACAGTTCGTTAGACATTACATGGTAGTAGCCTGTCTGCGTGCTATCAACAGTGTAAATAGCAGGCAGCGCGCGCCGTTATTGTCCCATTCACCGTGGTGTATTAGCAGCCAAATGGAAGTGACCCTGCAGTATTTGCTTGCCGTGTGGAAACTTTTTTATGCAGGGATACCCAAAGAGCTCCTACATGAAATATTAGCAATGACATTTAGGTTCATACTTTATTTCCCCCTTACCTAGCCTAATATTATATCACAGAAGGTAGATACTGAAAAATAGCAGTTTATTATTTCTACTTGATTTCCTCACCCAGCATATATTTACTAGTTTTGCCTAGTTTGCAGTAAGTTGGGTGTGCCCAAGGTCTTAATACTTTATTTAATAAATATCATATAAATAAATAAGCAGGAGTTGCTACTGAAAGAAGTGCAAATCAGATTATTTATTTATTTATTTATTGTCACCTCAGTTGTGAAAAGGTGCCTGTGACTTATCTAAGCGTAGCTCTGATCTGTGTCATCCTTGTCAGATGTCCATGGTCATTGTATTTGCGTCCAACTGCAAAATCCAGTGGCAGCTGTTATTGCAGGTATCATGCTTAACTTTAATGTAGCACTAAGAAGGTTTTTGGAAAACCTGGGATACATTTTATTTTTTTAAAGAAAAGTAATTAAATTTTTATGATGAAGATACTTACCACAAAGGGAGCCCTTAATTCTGGAAGGCGTTGGGTGTGGATATGTTCTTTTGTCTGCGAGGAACAAAGTGGAGTCTGTGGGGCTCCACAGGGCTGGCAGCGTTGTGCTGCCAGCGGTTACCTTGAGTTATGGCACCTGCGCTCTTAAAATGCAGCCCACTTGATGTATTTCATAATTGGTGTTCCATTAATGAATAGAAATATGGAGTTTGTTAAAATACACACAGGCAAATTAGCAGCTTTAAAACAAAACTCTGGGGTCAGCTCTAGCAGAGAGGTAAATAGGTTTAACTAAATTTCTGTGTTACTGTTAAGATAAATCTTTTACTTGAGAGTTTTTCTAAGAAAATAAGTTCTCTTATATCAGTTTTAAACCTTTGAATAGCGTTATAGATCCTTTAGCCATGTGTTTGGCAATAATGAATTTATACTACTATGTTTGCAGTTTCCTATTTTTTGTTTTCTACTGATTGAATGACAGTTCTATAAGTGTAATAGACCTTTAAGTTGTGTAGTAAATATTGTATTTAATGCTCCAGTAGTCTGTGAATGCAGTTTTAACTGTTAAACGATATTCTTGAGAAACTGTATTCTTAAAAACAAAATTGTAGAAACTAATTTCATTAGTAAAAGTCTGCAAGTATGTGTGTTATCTCTGAAATCCACACATGCTCTGACATACTGTTATCTCTGTTTCTCTCTCTTACATAGCTGTTACACAGATCTCTGGCAGCAGATGGCTGGCTATAATGCACTGTTAAACAAATAAAACCATTAGGCCTGTAATACTGCCTGGTAAACGACTATGTTTAAAATGGTTTAAAAAAATTAAATAGAAAATAAAGTTCATTTTTTAATTCAGTTACTGAAACTGGAATAAAATCCAAACCCTTTTCAGAATACATAAAACATCCCCTCTTATGTTGTGTTTGTCATTTGAAGTCAGCCTTTTTTTATTACATTCTTGCATCTGGTGTAAGATAATCAGTCCTAAATCAGTTTTCTAATAGATGTTTTCTACAAGTAATCACTCATTTTACATTTATCTTTGTAGGAAGATTTTTGCTTTTGTAATACTCCAGCACAAAATTATCTATTGCATTATATGCTCTTTTTTCCTCATTTTCAAATTTGATACAAATGTATTAAAATTATGATTCAACACTAGTGTCATGGCTCTGTAATTAAACTGTTTTTCAATAATTGTCAGCAGCTGAGAGATGCCATTTTGTCTTTTTGTTTTTAGATATGCCAATATTTGGTCTTTGCCCGGCTCATGATGATTTCTATTTGGTGATGTGTAACCACTGTAATCAGGTCGTAAAACCACAGGCATTTCAATCACATTATGGTAAGTGCTTAACTATTTTTAATAACTAAGGGTGAGGTTAAATCAGGATTAAGCCTGGCAATTTTTTTTTTAAATTGATGCTAGATAGATCATTACATTATAAATAATGTCAAAGAACATAACCTGTGTTTAATCATTTTATATACATTGTAGTGCAGTTACATAAAGATCTTGTTCCTTTTATTTTTTAATGCCTACTTGAAATGCTGCATACATACAGTTCAATTTTGAAATAATATATGTAGTGTATTTCACAGACAGTGTATGTAGTGTGTTTGTGTCTGTGTGTGTCATTTCTCCTTGTGTATTTATACAGATTATTTTTACATGATTTCTGTTACAGTGGGAACTGTGAACTTGAGCTAAAAGGGAAACTTACATATTTTATTGTAAAACATAGTATGCTTCCAGTGGCCAGTAAGCTTGCTTATTTATTTTCAAAAGTATCAATTTGTGTTTGTTTTACTGGTCTGATGGTTTTGTACATAAACTATGCTAGGAAGCTCTTAGTGTGTTGGTTGATGTTAGCCAGTGTTTAGAGAGGACTGAGAAAATGTGAAGTGCTGCGCAAGTTCAAGTGCTCAGTTACTTCCTACAAACCTAACTGGGAGAGATTGGCAATTCTTCTTTTCCGCACTCCTCTCAAGACTAGAAATGAAGCTCAAATAATTTTATGACAATATTTGGATAGTGCATTTTTGGTAGTCTGCTTTTTGTTTCTTGAGAAATTAATGAGATGTTTTCTGACCCAATGCTAATAAAAAAGATGGACAGAGCATCTTCTGATCTACTCCTTCCTCTCCGTGTGCGTGTTTGTACGCGTTCCATTTTTTCTAGGCCAGTGCACCTACTGATTGCCTCAGTGTTTAAAAGAATAGAAGATGCTGGATGCGGGTAGGGAGCCTTTTCGAGCCTTGAGAACAAGGGAGAACTTTTCTTGTGTCTTGAATAATCCAGGCCTTTGGCAAGAAAAGAGTAGATGTGGCACTTCAGGATATGGTTTAGTAGGAATAGTGGTGTTGGGTGGATGGTAGGACTTGATTTGAGAGGTCTTTTCCAACCCATGATTCTGTGAATACTGGAGACTGGGAAAGGGTCTTTCTATGCTGTACAGAGGGTGAACGTCTTATCCTTTGCACCTCTCACTTGTTTGTTTTTGTGTTATAACACCTTACGGATTGTACCTCTGCGCTTGCTGCTGGATTCTGCAGTTGTGTCTCACAGAGTGACTCGGAGAAGAATCTGAGTAGGTTTTGTGTCATAATTCTTACTAGTTTGTCTGTTATTCTGTGGATGGCAGTACTAATAAAAGTTCTTATAAAACCCACAATTTTGTGAACATAAGTCTCCAGAGCTGTAGGGAGCTGGAAGAGAAGAGCATCAGCTTTTCTTACTCTGGTTGCTATAGGCCTTTGTATCAGCCAAGAGCAAGTCCACCCCTTGCCAGTGTGATTCCTTGCCTGTCACTGAATATTAGTTTGGGATGTCCAAGAAGTCCTTCTAGAATAGCATATTAAATAGATTCTGACAGTTAAAAAAAAAAATATGTGGAGAACTAGATGGTCCCCTGTTCTGAGTGTTGGCATATTGAATCTTCCTGAGGTCAGTAATATGGAACTGGCTCAGGTCGGTAGTGGTGGGGAGCTGTGGATATCTGCAGACACGTTGGGTTGTCTTTCTGAAATCGGCAGGTGATCTCCAAATACTGTCTGACAAACGGGTATCTGTGCTGTAGGAAGCAGTATCGTAGTTGTTGGCATGGCAGCCTTGAGGGCAGATGGAAGAAGCAGTTCAAGAGTGAACAGGTACGGCATGGCTTCTTGACCATGGACATGAAAACATGGGGTGTTGTAATGGTGCTTGTACCAGTGTTAAACTTGTTACGTGAAGTTAATTCAAACTCTCCTGTAAGCACTACTTGCAGTTTAAAAGGGACAGAGTGAAGAGGGAACTACAAAATAAAGGTATGGAAAATATTTTTTAAAAATAAAAGAATAAATACTAATGTAAAGTTCCCATTCTGTATCACATCATAGGAGCATGATCTCTAAACATGAAATTTCCTCTTATGTCACCCTTGCATCAATGGCAGATTCGTACTTTGAGGGGATGAAAATGCTGAGGTTATTCGTAGTATTTCTTAAGCCCGTTCTGAACAACGAAGACACTCGGCAAGGGCTGCGGTGTGCAGAGGAAACAGGCGGGGTCATTCTGATGAGGAAAAACAGGCTTGGGTGGGGTGAATGTCAATAAAGGACCTTAGTGTGGCAAACGAATAGCCTCAGAAAGGTAAGAACGCTGACTTGGTGATTTTGTGTAGCGCTAGTTCACATTGTTTTTTATCAGTCTTCACATTCTTGAAATCTTTATGCAGTTGTCCCTTGTTTTAGCAAATTGAATGTGGACGCTGATAAATATGGCAGGTGATTGATTACCAGGCAATGGTGTGGGGTTTGTTTAACACAGTATACTTCAGGAGAAGGATACTGCTGAAGTTCTCAAAACACACAGTTCCTTTAAAACAAAAACTACGCTGTCATAACAACAGGAAAATAAAACACTCAATGGATTCATCACAGTCAGTTTTCCCTGAATTAGGTCTTTTATTTGTGGCATTATTTCAGGGATTGATAAGGAGAGATTACTTCAAGTTCTGAAAAATTACAGAGCATCAGTGAAGCTACGCCGTAGTGATGTTGTTAGGGTCTTTCAAAGTTATTTTTAATTGTTACCAAAGCAATAGTAATCTCTTTAAGCATTCTACAACTCCTGGTGGTATGTGTCGCTCGTACTTGGTGTTCTTTGAAACTTGTCACATGGGATTTTGTTTTCTGAAGTAGAAAATGCTTCTTTAAAATGTCAGTTTTGTCAAAGGAAGGCTAAACAAACTATTAGCTAAACCTAATGAGCTAACTGACTTCTTCCAAAGCATATTTGTGATAAACTACTTAACTAGGTAGGCTGAAAGTGCATTGCAGGACATATGCTGGCTTTTTTCCCTGGACCACAAGTAGTCAGAATTAATTTAAGTGTAACCTTGTTCATAAGAATATTTGGCCTTTTTAGTGAAATACTTTATTGCTACGGATCACAGATTTTTTTTATGTAACTGATACTTTTGTATTTCATGGGTATGACTAGAAGAGACACTAATCCAAAATCAAGTTCTACTTTTTGAGGCAATCTAAGCATACAATTGGAGTATGAATTTCCATTTTAATAACTTATTCTATGCTGTTGGTGTACATATGCTATCATTGATTTGTAAAATTTGGTGACACGTTTGGTGTGCATAACACCACGTGTAGGTTAGTTTTTAAAAGCAGTCTAATTTAGTGAGGTATCTGCAGTGTGCTTGTGGTATTTCTTCTAGCCCGTGCACAGCAGCTGCCTGTCAGTACACTCCAGTGGTTTTACCCTCTTGGCGTAGGGTGGCAGTGATGCTTGGGCGTCTGGCGGGGCAGCAGCAGGCCAGCCAGCCGAGGAGAGTTGTTTCAAGACAAATCTTCTGTTCTGTCAGATCTCAGCTGCTTCCTTTGTAGGGCTGGACAAGAGATTGAAGTCCTTTATTGACAGTATTCTTGCTGCTGCTTTTTGAATGGTTACGCTTTCGTGGTATCAACATCTTCCTTGCGTGGCTCAAGGGCAATTCCGTGGTGAAAGATGGAAAAAAACCCATAGAATATTCAGGCATCCAGTCTCATGGGTGAACCACCTGAGATTGCTTATCATGATGACCTATTCTGAAAAAACAGTCTTTTTCTGCAGCTGGAGCATTTCTCTCCACTCTGGATGATCCTGTGCCAGCCTCTCCAACATGCATGCAGTGTGAACTCTCCCTCTGTATTTAAGTCATGTGTATTTCTTAATTCCCTGCACTGTTTCCGGTCAATATTTAATTCTTACAATAAAAATGACTTTGCTGTCTGTCAAATTGGTAACCGTCACGCTCCTCAAGAAGGCCCCCTCGGCAGACAGCGGGATGTGCCTGTGTCCCTTTTATTTCCTCTCTCTCCTTCCCGTGACAATGTGCTAGATACGGTTCCCGTGCTGCACTGAAAGGTTGCTCTTTGAGGAAGCCATCGCGACAGTTATTTCGGGTTGTTGGTAGAAACCCTGAAGTGGCGTGGTTTTCGGGCTGTATGACCTTTCATTGGTATTTCAGCCGTTCCACGGGTTTATCGCATCTCCCTGTGGTTATCAGCCTCCTGTCTGAGGAGAGCTGCTGCTCTGCACCATCTGGGCTGCTTTGTGGCTCAGAGAGAGGAGATAGCTCAGCAGAGTGCCAGTAGCAGCGGCGTAGAGATGTGGGGTTTCTTCCTTCTGTTTTTTCCTAGGTTTTTTTGCAGAGTTGTTTGTTTCGCCTGCGCCTTGGTTTCTGTAGATACGAAATGGGATTAAACTCTCAGCAGTAATAATGAAGGCTACCTGTAACACTAAAAGTGCGTGTGAGTCATGTGGTGATTGTGAAAGCCATTAGTACAGTACGTATTGGAAAGAGTTGATGATAGTGAGCTGGACTATTGAGTCATTAAAAAGCTATGTCTAGTGTTTTGATTAACTTCCATAGGTTTGGCATGCGGTGGCAAAGGTGAGCGATTCGGTGAGCTTTGCTTGCAGCTGCTCTGTGAGCTGGTGGGGAGTCGCTTAAGCATTTCGGTTTCTAATCAGTGCGTGTTTAAACATGAAGTATAGGATTTGGAAAAGGGATAATAATACAGGTTTACACACCTTTTGTGGTTTCTAGGAGGTTGTGAGGTTGGAATAGAGAAGGTCATCCCATAACCTTATACTCAGCCTGGAGAGACTCAGCGGGCAGATCCTGGCAGTAGAGAGAGAGATGTTCACTTGTGTTGCTTGGGTCCATCCTGCAGGTCAGTGTAAGGTCTCTTGTGGAGCTCCTTCATCTCATTGTACAACCGTACTCCTTCCTCCCTGAGCCTGGTCTCGCACCCACCTTCAGTTAGCAGGTTTACTACTTTGGCTAGTCATAAGGAGGC